TTAACAGAGCCCTTGACAGGTAATGCATCAAGGGATGCACCACCACGCTCGGTTTTGTATGGGCAATGCATCGATAATGCCTCAAATCATGCATTTCCTGGCCTGGTAGAGCGGGCTCTAAGCACAGTCCGGCGCTCTAGTCCCTGTGGTACAAAACAGTGTGATTTAACTTAAACGGCCATCTCCAATTTAGAATAAACTGTGTACTCGCCATAGGTAAGCTTCTAACCATTCAACTTCGTAGCATATACTCTTAAAAATTGTTTAAAGAAAACTCCTCAGAGTTTAAGTAGAACTGTATCAAGCTTACTTTAAGCAATTTTTAAACAGAGTGCAGTTTAACCTGCCGAGGTTTAACTAATTCAGCAAGCACAAAATCTACAGTAAAAAATAAAATAGCGATTGCGTCCAGTACATTGGACCTGGCTCGTAGCTCCTACTAGCATTATTCATACCATACCCGAGCCTTCCCCTCGCTGGAAGCCTGAGCATCCTTACGGCATACTTACTATGCGGAAGTTCGATGATGCTAGGAGTCGAACTGCTGACCTTGTCTCTCCAAAGGCCACCTCGATACCACTACACTAGCATGAAATGTACAGAGTAATCCACACTTTACCTACCTAGCTGCCACATTTACCACCTACCCTGCCTCCGCGCCTGACTCACTAAGTACCCGCCTACTTACCTGTCCACCTCCGCACCTGACTCCTTACCTACCTGCCTACATGCCAACTAGGAGCTTATTTGACGTCGATTTGGTGCAATTACCTGACACCAAAACAACACCAAATCAGCACCAATTCTGTAGATAATCGACCCAAATCAGCACCAAATCGATGCATGAATTGATGCCCAAATCGTCGATTAGGAGCCTGTACTGGTGTCAGTATAGGGGTGAAGGCGCAGAGATAGGCAGACACCCACCCAGGCATCGATACAGGTAGGAGGTAGGTGTCGAGGTAAGTAGGCTGGTACTATAGTGGTATAAGTAAATGTATTTAGGTTGGATAGGATTAATACATGTAAAAGATAGGTTTACCGTAAACTATACTCATGGTGGTTTGATTTTAGAGATGCCAACTCAGGCATGTTTAAGTTAAATCAGCAGCCCAGATCCAGGTTGATGTTAAATAAATCTGGAAATGGTAAACACCTCCAAGTTTAAAAAAGGTCTGAGGTTTATCGTGCCCCCTTTTTGATTAATTTGAGCAATTGACGGGTTTGGATTAAACGCTAGCACACAAACTTTGTACCATAGTGAGGTCAGCTATATACACCTCCTTATACCCGCCATTCAAAAAAGTGATCGCCCGACAACGGGGGCCTCATGCATCGCGCGCGCCCCCCCGAACTCATGCGATTCCCCCCAATTCCCCACCAAAGTATTTGATATCGATCCCCACCAGACCCAGTAGTATCCATGCCTATATTCAATAGCTTGTAGGTAGTTAATTATTCTTATCCCTCTAAGATCTGTAGTGATAACAGTATGACTGTAGCGAGCTTTATGGCATCTAAACCCGCCTCAATGTCTATCATTATGCGAGGACATCCAATAGACCCAGGTAAGGTTGGCGGTGTACTTGCTCTTTACAAGCAAGGCCTTTCCTATAAAGAAATTGAAAAAAATACTGAAGTTAGACGAGATACTGTGGTAGATCTTGTTCATAGGGCGAAGGCAAGAGGAAATGTGGGGGAGAATGTAAGGCTGAAAAAACTGCTTGACAAAGAAAATGTCAACCCGAAAACAAAAGCAGGACGTTCAGAGGCTGTTTCGGCGAGAGAGAAGAGATATTTTATTCATACAGCAGAAAAACCTGAGGACCGTCATTCTACTTTAGCCACCATTGTTGAGGAGGCAGGTCTCAGCATTTCAATAGAGACCGTGACAGCCCGTAAATATCGCAATAAATCCGGTCTGCACTGGCGGAAACCTCGGCGGAAACCTCCTCTTATCCGAGTTCAGAAACGGAACAGATTGAAATGGTGTAGAGAACATAAAGAGACCGTTTGGTCCACTTGGATATTTACAAATGAAATGAGTATTGTACCAGGGCAGATACGGGGTCGGAAGGGTGTTTGGCGACGGCCTGGAGAGGAATACCAACGCGATAAAGGAACTGTAGATCGCAAAAAACAATCAGGCGGGTCTATTATGTTCTGGTGAGCAATCTGTTCCGGTATCAAAGGGCCGGGGTATGTGTGGATTCCGGAAACTGCAAAAGAGAAAAAAATTGCTACACAACTATTCAAATTGAGAACGATAAACTGGAAGTGGCAGCACAAACAGCCCAAAAGACAGCTCCTCCTCCTCTCAAAAAAACGAGGTCGACCACCTAAAAGGTTGACTAAAGAAAAAAATCCCGAAAAAGAGAGTCAAAGGCATTGATTGGTACAGGTACTGGAACCTTGTACTAAAGCCATATCTCTACCCTTTTTTCCACAAGGTAAACAACAGAAAGGTGAAGCTGTTATCATGGAGAATGGTGCCGGGCCTCATAGTCATTATTTGTTAAAAGGGGAGAGAGATAAAGCAGGCATTGTACAAGAGGGTTGGCCATCATCATCACCTGACTTGAACCCAATTGAGATTATTTGGGACTATATGAAGGTTAGTATCTCTACCCGCAGGCCTAGGATCACTAAGATCAGTGGCACTACACTCAGAACTGTACTTATTGAAGAATGGGAGGCTATACCCCAAGGGAAAATCAATGCGTTGATAGGTAGTATGCCTTCTCGCATTGTAGCATGTATTAAAAATAAGGGAGGAAACAACTACAATTTTAATTTTTACGGATAGCCTATACCGATCTCCTGTATTTTTTCTATCACCGTGTACTCTTATATCTTTCATTCGACATCTGGTTGTGGGGCTATTCGGGTTTTTGTATTTCTGCGTGGGGGTTGGTTGAGTTGCGGGCGAATACATTTTTGAATGGCGATTATATCTATAATTGATGGCTTAGTACTTAGTTCTTGGCTATAGGGTTGCCTTTTATTTTGCACGCTGTGCGTACACTCTGGCCATGGCCCACTTTGCCAAACCCAATTACATAGGTATTAACTACTAGCCAAGACAAGGATTATCCGGTATAGGAGTCTAGAGTAGGGCTTACGAGAGCGGTAATTGGGTGAAATCACTACTGCAGTGACTTAGTGCTGCAGCAATCTACATAAAGAGATCACCGAAACCACAATTAATCTACATGTATGTAGGTCTAGACAGCTAGACTGGCGCGCTATGCCTTGATCTGAACAAGCTTAGCTAGCCGAAGCTCGACTAGTCCAGAAGGGTAGTGAGTGCGAGATGAGGCTAAATCCCGAAACCTTAATCTAATTCTGTACTCACTACAGTATCAGAAATGGGGGTAAATATGATACCGCATTAGTACGGTATTGTGAGAATGTGCCGCTTTAGCTCCGTATTTTAACGAAGTATGCGGTAGTGTTACGGCAGTGGTACGGCATTGCCAAAGATTGTGCTAGTCGTTTAATCCATTTTTCTATCACTGTACATAGAGGTACATACACGTAGCCATGCTCTGATCTAGTACCCAAACCTACAAATTAAAGATATGGTTTTATTGTCAGCCCCGAATGTTATACCAGAAACCTGCTAGCTGGTTTTGAAGTCTTTGGGTGGTAGACATATCAGCGCCCATATTGCAGTCTGAAGAATACTCCACCTGTAGGAACAAGCATCCCAAAAGCGTTTCAATTACTTAGTGGAATACATCATTCGTGAAAAGAGTAATGAGCAAGCTAGCTAGCTATGAATTAAACAAAAAAAAAGCTAGCTAGCCAAGCCGCATGTAGAATCGAGTGATATGTTGTGATTCACTTCTGTGGGTGGATGTAGGGCTGTGTATACTGCTTCAGTCTTGGTTGGGTATGCGGGGACAAAGTAGGGCTAGGTGGTCTACGCTTTTGTCGCCGTGGCTGAGTGTAAATCGGCTTTGCAGTAGAGGAATGCGTTATATACAGCGAGCTAACCGTGATAGAGAACAGTGATGCATATATACAAGACGAAAGAAAAATCCTCAAGGACACCCGGGACGATTGGAGCGGAGAGTATATATATAGCAGCAAGAAGGAAAGCCAAATTAACCAGCCAACGGCCGGGGGGAAGAAACAGAAAATGGTTTCATCTCGAAATTACCGAGTGATCCTCTATGATTGTGGATGTCAGCATCAACGTACACCTGGCCTTGCTGTCTTTCCCGCGTGCGGGGTTGTTGTCGTGTGGAGGAAAGATTCGTCGTGTAAAGCGCGCGGGGGGGTAGGCATTGTCGTGTTATATATATGAAAAATCAACTAGGTCATGATGACCCAACCCTTATCGGGTATGGCTTCAAGTATTGTCGAGTGCGAGAGCTCGCGGGAAAAGACGGAACAAATTCAGGTATCGTCCTGTTCCGCATTATTTGCGCTGTGCCCACCACTAGTTTATGGTGAGTGGTAGGCCGCGCGCGGGGGTTTGTCGTACTGGTGAAGTATTCCTTTCGATCGCTGGCCGGGAGAGGGGGGATCGAAGGGGGGTGAATTCCATGGGATTTGGATTGCTGTAACAGTGCGCGAGACCGGACAGTCTACGACGCAACGGGGGAATTGGGTGAGGGGGTAACTGGATTGGGGTTTTTTTGGGGGGGAGGTTTCGCGCTTTTGGCACTGGCCCTGAATATTTAGTTTTCTGTGAAAGGCGCACTGTTCATGCAGTAGAGTATGGAGTGGAGAGACATGATGTTGTCATCAACAAGACGGAAACGACTTTATTCAAACACGACGCTTTAACAGATAGATACGTATACAGAAGCAGGACCATGACAACCACTTTATCCCATGCCAACGCTCTTTAAACACAAAAGAAAAGTCCAATGCAAAAGAAGAATTAACGTCATAACAAATACCAATACCAACCCAATCTATAATATATGCACCCGCCCCATGCAAGACAAAACAAAAGAGCATTACCCCCTCCCGTCCACCTCCACACCTCACGACCTCTCCCTCTTCAACAACTCCAATACCCTCCCCTCCACCGGCGCCTCCACAAATCCCACCACCATCCCCCCCACCATCTCATCCCCCTCCCTCTCCCACCCCTCAACCCCCTCCGCGCCTCTACACTCCAACCCCACCACCGTCCTCCCCCTCCCCTTCGCCCACCTACTCGCGGCCAACGCGCCCTCCTTGCTCCCCTCCAACATATTCACCACCACCCGTCCCGTACTCACCTGATTCAGCAGCTGCCGCAACTCCTTCACCCTCACCCTCCTCCCCACCCAGAACGCGAGCGCCACCCCCCACATACCCCCCCACAGCACCACCAGCACCCCAACAGGGACAGCATACCGCACATCATACCACAACACCCGATCATACACCGTCACCACCCCGACCCCGCGTCCCCCCGCCGCAACACTCGTCACAAGATTCGCAAACACATCCGTCCACACCAGCCCCGGCAGCTGCGCCACGCTCCCTGCGTCCGCGGTGACGCGCTCCCACTGGCGATACAGCGCATAGTTCGTCTTCCCGCTATAGTCCGGCGTCAGCGCGCTCGTCTCATACATCAGTCCCGCCGCATACTGGTACGCGCCCGTCCCCGCGAGGGAATCCGCAATCCCGGCGCCGCCCTGGCCGGCGGGAAGATACAGGGCGTGGGCGCGGCGCGCGATGATGCCGTCGGCGTGCTCGTCGGAGGGGTGCAGGGGGCCCCAGAGGGGGCTGATCTGTGCGGCGGTGAGGGCGGGGTGGGATTCGAGGCCCCAGAGGGGCGCGGAGGTGGGGAGGGTGGTGTTGTGGATTGTGAGGGAGGCGAGGTCACGGGTGGTGCCGTTGGAGGTGAAGGTGGTGGTGCGGAGGGTGGCTTGAATGGCGGTGGCGCAGGTGTAGAGGGGGTAGCGGTAGGTGCCGGCTAGTGTGGAGGACTCGGTGTCTGTGCGGCGCGGGGCGCCGATGATGAGGCCGCAGGTGACGAGGGGGGCGCCGGAGGGCGTGGTGGGCGTGAGGCCGGCGCAGTGGGTGTCTGGGGGGGGGGGGGGGGGTGTTAGTGGGGAAATATTATAGGAGGGGAAGTATTATAGGAGGGGGAAATATTATAGGAGGGGGAGGTATCATAGGAGGAGAAACGGTATATCGTAATGATACGAGGGAGGGAAAGAAACCAAACAAAAGGAAAAGGCAAACCAACCAATACTCGTCCCATTCTGCACCCCATCCACAATCTTCGCCCCCAGCGGCACCCGATGCACCACAAACTGGCTATCCCCCAGGCTATCACTCACCTCCTGCAGCCTCGAGATCCACACACTCTCCCCCTCAATCTCAAACGTCGTATTCTCCGCCGCCGCCGCCACCGCCCCACCACTCGCCCCCACCGCGCCCGCCACATCCCGATTGAAATAATACGCGCCCCTCCACGCCCTCCCCGCCAGGTCTGGCACCCCCGCCACGTCCACCAACACATCCGGCTCACCCACACCCACCAATCCCCTAAACCCACCCGTATCAACCAGCACGCTCGCCGCACCGCCATCATCATCCGTCGTCACCTGCAAGCTCACATTATTCGCCACACACACCGTCTCCGGCGCAACCCACAACAACAACTCCCCCCAGCTCGCGCCATACTTCTTCTTCTCCCGATCCGGCACCGCATGCTTCCGAAACCCCACACCGCCATCCTTCGTATCCACAACCAGCCCATCAATCAGCTTGAACCCGCGACTCAGAATCAGCGTCTCCAAGAACCGGAACTGCCCAATCGTGTACTTTAGCCCGTTGGCCAGCTGGTGCTGCGGCAGGTTCAGGATGATGTAGTTGCGGAACTGGATATCAAAGACGCTGGCCACGCTCGCGCCGTAGTACGACGCCTTCGTGAAGAGCGCTGTCAGCGGCGCGGGGACGGAGGAGCCGATGCGGTACTTTTTGGAGGACGCGCGCTTGCGCAGCCGGCGCCGGGAGGGCGGCGGCGTGGGTGCTTTGGCCTCGGGAGTGGGGTCGGAGCGCCGGTGAAGCGCGAGGTAGGCGGATGATGCGGAGGCGGCAGAGGCTGCGGCGCCGGCGGCGGTGGGGGTGTCTACTGGCTGCTGGACCTGCGCGGGCGCAGTGTTGGTGTCGGAGCGGGCGGTGACGCTGCCGGGGAGCTGCACGGGGCTGTCGACGTTCGTGGGGATGACGTTGGTGTTGTCCTTTGAGCTTGAGGTAGCCGGTGGAGTGTCTGAGGGCGTGCTGCGGGTGTTGGACGGTGGGGTCACCACTGGAGGAGTTGCGCTCCCGGTGTCGGTGGGCGTGGAGCCTGTGTTTGTCGGCGGTGTTGCGGAGCCAGTGTCTTTTGGCGGTGTGGAGCCAGTGTCTTTCGGCGGCGTGGAGCCGGTTTGTGTGGGACGATTACTGGTGCCGGTGTCTTTCGACGGCGTCGTAGTGCCCGTGTCAGTCCCCGTCTTTGTCGGCGTCGCCGTCTCACTACCCGTCCCCGTCCCCGTCTCCGTACCACTCCTCGTCCCCGACGCCGTCTCTGAGCTCTTCGTCCCCGTCCTCGTCACCGCCGTCCCACTGGCACTATCACTCACGGCCCCACTCGTCGCCGTCGTGCTCGTACTCTCCGTCCAGGCGCCCCAACTACTCGTCGCACTCCCCGTCGGCGTCTCCACCCACACCGCGCTCTCCTCCACCACCGTACTCACCGGCTTCCACGGCGCCACCTCAAACCGTCCCTCCTCCTCCTCGACCGTCTGGCCCTCCTGCCCGGGACACGCCTCCTCGCCAACCCCGCACACGCGCGTCAGCGCGTAGAACTTGCGCTCGGCCGTGCCGAGGAAGAAGGAGCCGTTGTCGAGCGCGAGCTCGAAGCGCAGGCTGGCGACGTCGCGGCCCTTGACGTCTTCGCGGATGCCGAGGGGGGTGAGGACCCCCGAGAGGGCTGTGAGGCCGAGAGAGAGCAGGGCGAGGTAGGAGAGGAAGAGGACGGGGCGCGCAATGTGGGTTGTGGAGGCGCTGTCGGAGAAGAGGAGGGTGTGGAGGTTGGAGTTGTGGAGGAGGGTTGTGATGACGGACCAGGTGTTGGCCGTGGAGGCGTTTTGGATTAGGCCGGCGAGGACGATGCCGATGAAGAGGGGGAGGGTCCATTGGACTATACATGGTTGGGTTAGTGGGCGGTTGTGGAGAGAGGGGGGGGGGGGGGGGGGGGAGGTACTGATGAGGATCCCGGCGGCGATGATGGATGAGACCATTCCGGGCTGTGATGGGTGTTAGCTTTCGATCATGCCGTCTCTTCGGACTGGGGGGAGACGTACGGTGAGGTCGTACCCGAACATGCTGGGCAGCTTCTTCTACCTGTCGCGCCGAATGCGGCAGTTCGTCGTGGTGTAGCGGTCGTATCGTATCCGTATCAATATATCGTTCGTTGTTTGTGTAGAATCTATCAGATCTAGCTGGGATGCGAAAATAATTAAAGTTAAGGTTAAACGTTGCGTCGCGAGTGATATCCCATGCAACTGAAAGAAACACTCTTCAATCTCCAGGTCGACAAGAGCAAGAACAAGGAGAACAGCAGACAGCACCGGCAGACAGGGTTATCTAAATATTCCTCCCCCCTTCCCCTTCCCCTCCTCTCCTCTCTCCTCCCTCCTCGGACTCACCACCCGCCTGCCAGCCAACGGATGAAAAAAGTGCAGTTTTCCATTTTTGGAAGCACATCACCTTGTCTGTGCGTGCCATGCGCGCGGGACTGACTGATTGGGTGCGGTGCGGCTGACGGGCGGTTTGAGGTTTTTCCTCCTGTGGCTGTCTGTGTCAGTTGCGGGGGGGCCACAACGCGGGATTCACCACGCACGGGGTGGTGATTGGTTGGTTGGCTGCAGGTTGGTAATGTGGTGCGAGGGAGGAAGGTTTGTGGCGTAACTAGAGCATTCGAGGTGAGAAGATTCAGTAAAGTGGATGCTGCAAAACAAACTCCTCCTAGCCACCTCTGCAAACGTCTGCTGCTTGCTGCCGGCTGCGCCCATATCCAAAAAATACGAGCTGGAGCCTGGAGGGGTCGGTGGGGAGAATCAAAGAGCTAGAGTATGTACTTAACTACATGTGGTTTTCATGATTACATATTCTCTTCCCTGAGAAGCAAAGCACCGAGCACAGCAGCTAAGGAACACACCCATATCCATATAGCCGGCCAGTCCGGTGTGACCAATTCAGGAATTAAGGAACAACGCAAAACGTCAAAGAACGTTCCGGAATCCTTTTCCCCCGAGACGCGATCCGTAAAAATGCGCGTCCGTCCGCGGCCGCGGACACTGGCAGGGAGTCGCCCTTCGGATATCGAAAAGGTTTGTGGTGTTACAGACATGGGAAGGGACCCTAACCCTGTGCTGCGCCAATCTTGGCTCAGCCAGCCACGACCAACCGAAGTCTCGCCAATTACTCCTCCAATTGCAGCCAACAGAACAGCTACAGGTATTAATTCTGCGATGTCTCGGGAAAAAAACTTGGTATGGAGGTACGGTTATTTGTTTTGACTGCTGCCAGATGGGATGGGGTGGGAGAAGGAGAGTAGGTGACACAAGCGCGGGTGGATCGCGATCGTGAGATTTTTTAAATTTTTTGCTGGGTGCACAGCACGGCGCGGCCTGGGCCTTGGGGGGGATTGGCGCAGGGATAGGTTCTTGGTAGGGGAGAGGTGAGGTAAAGGAGAGGAGAGGTGGGATTGGGATGTTGGATTTGGTTAGTGGTAGCGAGAGTGTTAGAGTCAGGATTTTGCGTACTTACATGTATTTGTTAGACGTCGTAAGATCGCGCCAGCAATTATGTACCCTACATATGTTCACAAGTATTGAGAATGTTCGCTACCGACATGTAGAGTAGGTAGAGTACATAGGGAACCCTCGAACCGGCGGAGCTGGAGCGCGAAGAACGATGTTCTAGAAACGTGACACTAGACAACCGAAACATCTACTGAGCGTTAATTAACCTCAGATCTCCGCACAACAAGAGCGCTACACACTTCCGACATCTAGAAGTAAAGTAGTGTACATAGCGCGTGTTGTATCGACTCCCTGCCTGTGCGTTCCGGAAAGGGTGGGCCTGAGATGGCTTGGCAGTTCTAGAAAAGCAGGGATGTCTATTTTTAGATGCTATTATTCCGGCCGGGCGCGCGAGATGTGGATCGAGGAATTAATCATGTCCGTGTCCGTCAAGAGAGAATTAGTACAGCTGTGTGAGAGTAAGAGTAACACCACGCGACGCGCATGGAAGAAACTATTTTCCTCTCATCCGCGGCCGGATATGGATATGGATATTAGTAACGTGCTGATCTGCACTGACTCACTTTCGGTGGGCATGTTTCAACTTTCAACTGCTACAGAGACCACCGTGTAATATTGTAAGTGACAGATACATTCAACAGAAGACAGATCTATCAAGAGCATTAACGCATATTCGACAGCCGTCCTTTACAACCCTAGTGCCATTCGATTGTCCTCCCCCGAGCCCTCGGTCATGGGTTCTGCTATAATATACATGTACACCCCCTTTATCCAAGCACTCATCGCGGTAAAAATTCAACTCATTCTGGCTCCAAGAGTACGTACCTAGCTAGCTAGACTACTTTGTGGCGGACTCGATCGAGGGCCTTGTTCGTGTTGATACTCCCTCTGAATGTAGAATAATGTTTAGCTTTCGGCATCCATGCGTGTAGAGTATACCCTCTCCGCTTGGCATCAATCTTCCTGCATCGTAGGCCTATGTAGGTGATAGCTTGGCCATACATAGTTTCAGAGCATCCTTCTGTACCACCTCAATGTACGAATCACGAGCGTTCCAGGGAAGCATACATCGATATCTGGACGTGTCCTCACGCTAGAACACAAAAGCTGTCCACACTCCATATATACTGAGAGGTGTCACCACCATCTGTACAGCTGCCCGGAATATCATCTTTACCTTAACACGACTAAGTATATAAATATATCATGCCGAATGCATGCTCCAAACGACACTGGGAGATTTCCGGGGTTTATTTCATATACTGTCAGCTGGTATCTTATATATAGCCCAGGTACTCTAGCTCTTGTAGAGATTCAACTGTATATAACTCTCTCCCACACCCCCCCCCAATACAACGTGGGCCGCTCGTAGCTAAAACGGTGTCTTCCCTGTTCCAACGGACGCCATATCGGGGTAATCTGCCCAGCCGGAGAATCTCCTGGGGTCATCGGTCTGACCGGGAAGGAGAACTATACGTGCTGAGAACTTAGCCCAGATATATAGGCTACAATATGCACAGACTTCGGCGTGTCCATACATACAGCACGCCAATACTAGGGAAGATTTCGAGTCTTTCTGTACCCTACACTGGGGCGATCCAAACTAGTCACTGGCAGCTGAAGAGTAAAGGTGTTTATCCAATAATTCCAGCTGTATATATATAGCTGAGCATACATCATAGGTGTTGTCCTCCGGAAATGCCGGGTATAGCAAAGAATAATTAGAAAGAGATCACACACTTTGTATGTGCTTTTTAAGCAAGCAAGCGCGCATTATCCACATACCAATTCCAAGGCCCAACAGCTACGTATCTACATAGCTGCTCCGAGATATGTAGCGCTCAAGTTGTTCTGCCTACTGCGCACATATATTTCCTCACAAGAAAACCTGCGTACTGACACCAATCGTCCCGGGCCGGCAACAGATGTATCTATTCAGGAGGATATATATATATACAAATTAAGCTGGACCAAAACGAAAGACAAGCATCGGATGAACGACTCCCCGCACGCGAAACATGGCGCTCTAATGATACCGAGCTACCGCGGGAAGTAACCTAAATTATAAAGTGCATAAGAAGGATTAGTGAAGGTAACACATGTGTACATAGTACGTAGGTGGGTGTGTGGGGAATAAACCACGCTGAGACTATCCTTCAAGCATAGGCGGAAGGGCTCTCTATACCCTTTGCCGCTGATAGACTCTTCCCTCCAAATGTGGGCCCTGTATCGTTGGCCCACTCCACTCCCCCACGTGAATGTTGGCGGCGAGATACGACTAGCTATCCCGGTCTTTATATCACAGCGGTGCATCGTGGGACGCTCCTCCACCATAGCATTGGTAGGAAAACTCAGCGCTCCTACTAGTCATAGGCCAGTAGGTATTCCGGTGTCAATCTTCTCCGCTAGATTTTAGGCCCCCGTAAGCTGGTGGTAATGGAACCCAAGTTGTCTGGCTAGGTTGAGTGCGTGTAAGTCTTGTAGGGAACTAACTAAATGCCTGCGCACACCTCTGAGGTTGTAGCACTGCACCTACTACGGCGTACTGCACAATTAATGGTGTCTTACTCGGTGGGGTGGGGGGGGGGGGGGCACCTAAGTGTCTTGACTCCCGACTGCTCCAGGTTCCATATTCTTACCAGTCGAAGCACATATATATATGCTTACATGAAAAGATGATCAGTATGCAGGAGATATCGACGTAACACAAGATGATACTTGACCGTACTCATCTAGCCTCCACCGCTCCGCGGCCTCACAACTGGAGTACTTACGCCATTTCTTGCGCGGATATGAAGCGATCACTCTCGTGGGCATGTAGACGGAGAATCTTATGATTAGCTGTAAAAGGCCTAAGAAATTGATCTGATTTCGCGTAAGTTTGGAAGAACATCGTAGAATATCGTATGCCGGTGCCCCCCGTCTTAAAGATAACCAAAAGCGACAAAAGGTCAATCGCTCATGACTTTACCACCAAAAAAACATAAAAGAAATCGGTACAATGAAAGTGTAGTAGTAGTGATGAAGTTTACGTTCATTGTACAGATTTTTGATATCTATCCTAGTTGTGAACTTATTAGAGCTTGAAATCGACACTTTCGTATGTAAAAAGCGCCAAGACTGAGCAAAGTGGAACAGTATTATACCATTTATACCCCCCCCCCCCCAAAAAAAAAAAGCGAATTGCGGCAGGAATGCTAGAAATAGGCCCTCTCATTGGCCTGGGAGTGACCCCGTAGCCACGATTGTTCCACTTCCAAATACCGCTGTGTCACCTTTAAGAGTGTTCGCACCATACCTTGCTCTTGGGCTATATATACGGGACGCCTACATATACGGGGCAGGGTATCTAGCATCTACTACGCACAAATACACTTAGGATTGGTGGTAAGTTTGACTACTGTGAAATCATAACCCCCGGGAAATGATGCACATTCGGTTTTCTTAACCACGGCAGAATTGGTCTTCACACAAGTCCAACTTGAAGTTCATAATGAAAGAATAAATAGAAAGACTCTATCATCGATACTTTTTTTTGGTTTTTCACTACTGATTTT